AATTTTTTTTAACTATTAAAAAGTGCTAAATAAGTGGTTTCAATTTTTAAAAACTCTCAAAAACACTTTGATCTCTCCAACTATCCTACAATTGGTCTTCACTCTGTTATTAGTTTATTTATCTAAAGTTTTTAAGATTATTAATTCTTTCTAACTGTTATTTTTGAAGGCCTACACTCTTCTTCATTTCAAGTAACTTTAATGGTACTACAAGGTTTTCTCTTTGCTTCTGTATTGTTTCTTATCTATCTTTATGAAAATTTTACATCTAAAGTAGCTATATTTGTTGGCGACTCAACTTTATACTCTTGCCTTTATAAAAAGTCATCACTTTTTGGTTGCTTAGAATGCTCAAATGAGCTATCATCTCATTATGATAAACCAAAACTCATTCTTGCTTGGCTTTTTACTCAACAAGTTGTGTTCTTTTACTGTATCTATATTTTCATGCTATAAAAACTTTTATTAATCCAGTTTTTTTTTCCTTGCACATCAAAAAAACTATATAACTCTTACCTATCTTCATGTTGTCCTTTTTTATACAACCTACAACTTTTCAAGTCTTCAGTTAACTGTTTCCTATCATTTTAACCCTATCCTCTATTTTAAAGTAACTCATAACTTAATAGTGGTTGCTTGCAACCTTGTTTGAAGCAACCACTATTAAGTTGTTAAACCTCTATTATATATTTTGTTGGAAATATATAAATATATGCCAGTATTTATAAATAGTAAATGTAAGTATAAAGTTATAATATAATAATCTAAATTTTTTTCTAGCCCTGGCTATTAACCCCTGCTAAATCTTATAATTTTGCAAGGGCCAGTGCCGGGTTTGCAAAAAGTCACATTTTTAGCCAGGACTTGAGCTTGGGCCCCAGTCACTTACTACTCCCAAATTTGTCTCACCAAATTTGTTGTTTAAATTAAATTCCTATTAATAGCTTAATAATAGCTTGGGGAATAATGCATTTAAGGTTACATCACCGCTTTAAATAACTTGGACTTTTTTTTGTTAATTAAGACATGTTTAAAATCATTTTTTATAACAGTTGAAGATATAGAAATTTTTTTTTTGGATTTTCATGTTTATAAAGAGTTAAAATTATAATAATTTGATAGACATTACAAAAGTGTTATATTTTTTACTTTAAGTAAGTATAAACGAAAATACAAATGCATGAAAAATTGACTTTTCCTAAAAAAAAATCATCAATGCCCAAGTGTACAGTTCAATGATCAAATGTAAAGTTATTTTTCTAAATTGTTTTTTAGGTTGAGTTGTATTTTATTATTTTACATAAACAAAAAATAGTAAAAACTAAAAAAATTTATAATAAAATATTGCTTTAATAAGTATTATGTAATCACACAATATTAAAAAAAAAGGCAAAAAAATGTTTGTTACATTTTTGTGAGCATCTTCTAGGTAGATAAGTTTGTAATAAAGGTTTTTTCAAAATGTTTTGACATAATTATTTTTAAATAAACTTAATATTTCTGGTTATTAAATTCTCAGTTTATTAAAACCATGTTTAAATTAAAACACTTTTTTAATGAAACAGTCAATTTATCAAATTGCAAAAATTAATGAAAAAACAAAACAATATATTTACTTCTGCAAAAATAATAACAGTTAAAACATACATATTTTTAATTATTGTTTTTTTAAACACCAGATGATTTAAGGATTATAAATTTTAAAAATGTTATTAAAAAAAAAAAAAACTACTAAAGGTCTGAAAAATTTGTGCGGTAATTTAAAAATCAACCAATAAAAAATTATGTTAAAGCTATTTGCGCATTGTATGAAACAGATTTTTGTTTCGAGGGAAAGTATAAGGAATTATTTATTTGTAAACTTAAGTTTTTAAATAAATAATTTAATTTAAATGTTTTAAACTAAAAATTAGTTAATTGATAATAAAAAAAAATAATAAAAAAGATATTTTAAAATAATTCATTAGAGTTTTTTTGTTTTGTTTTAAAATAACTATAAAAAGTTAAAATTAGTTTTTATATACTTTTAAACTCCTCTGTCTTTAATTTTGTGTATACATACCTGTAAAAGAGTTTCGAGGATTTAATTTATAAGAAAATATTGAATAAAATTTTAAAAAGTTATAAAAGTATTTTTTTTATTTAAAATATTTAATCACCGCTAAAATCTTTTAGACTGTTGTGATTGGTTGTTTTTAATAATTATATTGCACTTCATTGATTTTTTTTTTTCCTAGTTATATCTGATGATTTATAAAATGAATTAAGATATTAAAGTTTAACTCATAATAATAAAATAATTATGAAATTAATAGTAATAATATGGTTTTATAATAAGATTTTGTATCATAATTCAAGATCAATATATACACTTTTTATTGATTAACAACTATTGAGTTTAGTGATCAAAACAGAAGTTACGGTTTTTAATCTAAAATTATATTAAAATAGTTTTATATTAAAATTATATTAAATTATATTAAATTAGAGTTTAAAAATTTTGTTCAAATGCAATGTTCTTTTTAACAGTTTTTCTAGAAAACATTATGATGCTTGAATTAAAAAATGTCAGAAAAACAACTGTTGCTTTCAATTGTTTTTCTGATGTATTTTAGCAGCCCTCAGAATTAGGGTTGGCATTTGATAATGCTGACCTAAAGTGTTTGAGGTTGGCAAAAAACTGCCGAATATGGTAAGACCTTTGTATTAAATTTTTTTTGCCAACCTTATGCCAGCCTCTAATAGACTGAGGTCGGCAAATTATTGCTGACCTTATTTTTTCTTATTTTAAGGGTTGTGTATGATATGATAGTAAACATTACAGTGTAAAACTTAAAAAACTGTTAATAAAACATCAATTTTATTTTATCAATGAGCTTTTTTATCTAAATATCAACAAAAGCTGTGAAATCACTTATTGGTCGTGTCGCCTGCAAAGTCTGTTATAGTTGGAAGATTCGCGACTCATTTAGTCCTGAGGCCTGAATGTCTACCAAAAGTTAGATACAACTGACATTCATTGACAAGTCTTCTAAATTTTAACTACCAAACATAAAGATTTAAAGTTTAAGGTATACAAAAGCAGGTGTAAAAATTATTTATAACAGAAAGTGATCTCAAATCATTTGACAATATTGATTTTTATTCCACTTAATGTAAATAATTATTTTACTTAATGTAAATATTTATTTTATTTTTTATAGATTTTTTTATAATTTTTTTTATTTGAAGATTGAAATGTGTATAGAAAAAGTTTAATGTTATTTGAAAATCAATGAATTTTTAAACATTTTATGTGTAAATTGTTTACTTTTTAATAAACTTGTGGCATAATGCCCAATTTTACATTGTGTGAAATATCCATGTGCAACAAGTCTATAAAACTTGTCCAAATTTTTTGAGGTTATGAAAAAAATTTGCTTCAATTATAGTTTTTGTATTGGCTAGCTTTTTATATCTAAAATTTGTGTTAAAAATACATTAACTGCATTTGTGTCATGTTGCATATTGCATAAACTATTGGCCAGCATAACTGATAAATTATTGCATAACATCTGACTCACAGATGTTATGCAATAGTTTATCAGGGTGGCCAGCAGTCCTTGAAAACTTATAAAGGTTCAGCAATTGATAGATTCCTGAAAAGTCCTGGACAAGCATCCCTTTATAAATATTATGAAGTATACCTTTAAAAATACACCTGCAAAAGCAGGCATGTTAAAAATATGAGCTGTGAATTGTCTTGACAAGGATAGTTAGTTTTTCTGAATGATTGTGAGTCTATTTTTAGTTCTTTATTTTTTAATTATCTTTGGTTTTTAATTTCAAACAGACAGATCCGAATGGTTGTGATCTAACACTAGAGAAAACATGTTGCAAAGTTTTGTCAAAATGAATTGACTAAAAATTTTAAAAGAAGCTGCAACAGGTCTAACAAAAGTTGAGGTATGGAAATCAAATAAGCAAGTAGTAGACAAAATTAACATAAGAGCCATGCTGAAACTGATGCTAAGTTATCTTTATTGTAAACCAATTTCAAAATTTTTGAAGGAATGTAAGTAGATTAACTTATGTAAGCTTATTTAAATAGATTAAATCTATTTAAGCAAGTTATTATTATTTCTATTATGTAGAATTATTGCAAAAATATCATGAAAGATGGTTATTAAAATATTTTTTTGTAGGAAATCCTTCATTTTTGTCTCGAAATGAAATGTTTCAAAACAAGCATGAAATACAAGGGTAATTCTTGCATTAAAAAATATGCATGATGAATTTGTTGATGCGGAATGCAATGAATTTAGCTAAAAAAAATCATAAGTAGAAACTCTTAGTGCACAATTTATATAATGTAACATTAAAAGAAAACAGGAATCAGTTAAAGGGAATGAAGTAAGTAGGTAACATCAATTGATTAATAAAGAAATTGTAAGTATTAAAAAAAAAAAAAAATGCAGTCAAATGCATTAAAACTGATGCAGAGACTAAGCATTATAGCTGAGAAAAACAACTGTCTTAAAAAATCTTAGAAATGTGTGTGTGCATAATTTTTTTATATTTGTCATTTTATGCAGATACAAATAAACAAAATATAACACTAAGAAAGCTCCAAATTAAAACCCACTTTAAAAAATACTTTTTTTTTAGCTCTACCTTCTTTATTTTATTCTAACAAAAAATGTTTGACTGAAGCCTAAAAAACCTAACAAAAGGTTAAGATATCATTAATTTAAAGCAAACTTCATTTTTTGGAAAAAAAGTACTGAAATAATACAGAATGTTTTGGTATTTGTAAAATGAAAACTCCTCAAACTGTAATTAGTCTGCATTTGTCAATTATATTTTTAAACTGTTTTGTCGTATTAATGAAAAACAGTTTTAATTTGTTAATTGTTGCATGTCTTCAGCCTTTTTTTAAATTCTTGTACAATAAGTATTTTGAGATTTAATCGAATGAAATCAATATTATGAAAAATAATTGTTAAGTTTCAAAAATTTAG